ATAATGGCTAGTATAATATATTAATATCGTTCCCTGCGCCTAACATTTCTAAGGCTTTGAGTGAGCTATGAATCATTGAAATCGGACCAGAGGGAGGAAAGTGGGTGCTTGGAAACACATACGCACAAACACATACACTGTATTTACATATGGGATTACATCCCTGAGTTGGCCACTATCACGAAGAGATAGTTTTTTGCTTATTGTTTTCAAGTTTAAGCATAATTATGTATCATTATGTAAGCCGAAAGATCAGATACGATTAAAAAATATGTATCCATATTGTGATTTTCTTTCTTCGTTTAATGATAATGTTATTAAGCTTATCAGACGTTATGAAAAGAATTTACATAAAATAAATAGACAACACTTGTCTATATTATTTAATGAAACATGCATCAATGAAAAAATGCTGCCTAACACACACACACACACACACACATATATATATATATATATATATATATATATATATATATGTGTGTGTGTGTGTGTGTGTGACACCATTTAGGGAAGCAAGGAAAAGGAAGAAAAGAAGGGAAAGAAATGAAATTTTGATAGCGAAAATGGTAAAAGGTTTCATTGCCATTGTCGAGAATTCTAAATAGATAAAAATTAACTGTGTCGTGGTGGCGGACTTATTTTATCGGGAATAGATAACAGCCACTTGGTGCTGGCGAAAATCTAATTGACAAATTCTAGATCGGCTAGCTAAACTCCGGGACAGAATAGATAAACATTTAACTGTGTCACGGGAAAGCCATTTGGGGTTTCCACAGAAAATTACAGAGATAAAAATTTAATAGGAATGCCCTGACCACACACGAGCTGAAAAAAAGAAAACAAAGAAAATAGGTTAAGTCTTTGTCGAGGGAAAGATATCGTTAGACAAGGTCTGGGTTGTGTTAGAATCTGGCGATAATAGCGAAACTATTTTATCGGAAAAGTTGGCTGTGTTTTTGCTGGATGACCACCCACCCTGATGATTGACGAGGTCCAGATGAAATGACCTTGGGATAGGAATTGAGGTTATCACACTACGGGTCGCATTGTTCTGTTGGCGGCCAGAGAAGAAGAGAGAATAGAAAAGAAAAGAAAGAAAGGAAATAGAAAAAAAAAGAAAAAGAGGAGATAATTCTTTTTTCTTTGAGCAAGATAATTTTTTTAAGAAACAAGGCTAGTCTGGTCATACCCACACTGTTGATCGACCATTGGATGAATATTAACGAGAGCCAGGCGGAGGTGATCATGTGATGCAGGGGGAGGCCTGCTACCACTCCTTAAAGAGGATAGGTATGAGATGTTACTGCGAAGAAATAGGAAAATCGTTGACGCCCTCTGAAGGTAGGGTTAAGAGAAGACTTCCAAAAATGGAAATAATAAATTTTTCCTGACCGAAAACAAAAGAAGGTGAGTGTGGATTTGGAATTATCAGGGAACCTCAAACCTCAACGATCCCACCCCGGTTTGGATCGGCGTCCATATAAGCAAAGTCGCAGCGAGCGAAAATCAGTTTCCCAGTTGAGTTGGAGTTCCAGTTTTCCAGAGTTTCTAGTTCGCAGTTGAAGTGAGTCCGCCTCTCAGAGCTGACTTGAAAAATTCGCGCAACTTCCGAACTCATCTTCAATTCAAGAACAATTTATTTTTGAAGAGCGACTTAGATTCATACCACCAAAACAAGTTTTACGACTATCGCCTGAAGACACACCAAGAACCAGTTTCTTAAAGAACAGACAACTTAAGATATTAAAACTCACTTATCAAAAACAACGTGTCACGAATCCATATAGCGGGTCGGGAGATAGACGCAGTCCTATGTATCCAGCAACCAGATATAAAGTATTGTTATACTTTTTTTGATACCTTTGAACTTTTGAGTCATTATTTTATTTTATTTTACACATATTTGTGCGATACCACCCTTATTTGAACTCAACTTGCATTACGGCCTCGACGACTGATTAATTTCGTCTGCCTAAGATCAATTCACAACGTGGGTAGGCGGACTGGAGATCAACTCAGTTACTTTGGTAACCAGACGTTGGAAGCGAGTGGGGAACGACGAGGCTGATATCGGATCTGGCCAGATTCCCGTCCGAATCACCAAAAGGTTAGAACGTCACATTTGGGGGCCGCGACCAATACCAAGCCAGTTGGTCTTCACAGGACGGGACAACACGAATGACGCAGACAGGCGGACGTCACGCCTTGGAGCGGCGACACCCGAACGAAGCAGCGAGGAACGAGCAAGGATGGGGGACGTCCCACACACACACACACACACACACACACACACACACACACACACACACACACACAGATATATATATATATATATATATATATATATATATATATATATATTATTGACGCTGTTTGGTTTTTGCAAAGGAAAGAACGAATAAATGAATTAATGAAATAATGAAGGAATGTATATAAAAAAAAGAAAGAATGAACACGTGAATGAAAGATGGCGAACATAGCGGAAGTGATAACAACCTCATTTTTTTAACGTCGTGTTCAGTAAAAATTGAATACCTTGTACATTTTCTAACTTTTCTTTTGTAACTTCTTATTGCATCCATATTTGCAGTGATTTTCTAAGCGTAGCTTAGATATGGCACAAGGCCGAAAGCACCGAGTGAGGATCGAACCCACTACTCAGTTGTAACTCTTCTAGCTCAACACGCTTACTAACCATCACCCCACTTGGCATTGGCCCTTGCGCATGCATCTATGGTTGCTATTTTGACATTTTGTTGAATTTGCCAAGCTCAAATACTTAACGAGACGATAGGGGTATTTCATAGTTGCAAGCTTAATCAGGCATTAACTTAAGCACTAAAATGCATCAGAAAATTGAAATAACAAAATCATGACATTTTCACATGTATTTCTTGCTGTTGTTGTTATTATTATTATTATTATTTGTTGTTTCCTTGAGCAATTTTTATCCACTCTCGGCCTGCTAAGCCAGCCACAGTTTCACTAGTGCCCCGTTGTCCAGCATTACCTGTTTCCACCTCCCACGACGAGGATGAAGGTTTGGGTATTTGGGAAAACGAGAGGCACACCAAGACGCTGGAGCGTCTCAGTGGCAGATACTCACAGAGCCCACGAGATATTTCTCCTCCAGGCCACTCACCTTGCCGCTGACAGACGACTGTGTCTCCCCTCGACGCTTAGCAGCACAAACGGAAGGAAAAACTAAACTATTATTATTATTAAAATTATCATTATTATTTTTTTATATTATTATTATTATTATTATTTGATTTCCTTCCGGGTCCCAACCCGAGACCTAAGATCAGAAAAGGCTACATGATATTTTCTACTAATCATCTTTGTAAAAATAAAGATCGCACTTATTTTACATAGATAAAACCTTTCGTAAGGTGTGAGCTGTATTTGACAGTACAATTTGTTATATTTCTTTAAGTCATGGGCGACGGGGAATCCCTTCAGTGAGTCTATCGGAACCTTTTCTAATCAATCCGAGTGCTCCAACTACAACTGGAATTACAGATGCTTTCATGTGTCACATTTCTGAGATTTCCACTTTAAGATCCTTGTTTTTTGAAGATCTTCAAAGATTACAACCTGCATGGACACCGATGCCAAAAAGAACATTCTGTTCTTGTGGTCTTTCATAAGGATGTCTCGGCGATTAGCTTTGTTGGTTTGTGTGTATTATTAAGTCCCATAAAATTGTCAGAGGTTCTATCTCCATAACCTGATCAGTGTGATATCGATACCAGTTCCTTGCAGTATTCTTCCCTTAAAAGTTGCATATTTTCAAGTGCAGATATTGGCCCACTCTATCATGCTATTATTTTTTTTTTCTTTGATATCTGGCGTTTACACATTTCTTTCCGGGTCCCGCCCAGGGACCTAAAGTTAGAAATGGTATCATGACACTTTCCACTGGAAAAAAATTTAATTGATAAAGCCCTTCGTAAAGGCATGGACGTCCAGGAATCCCTTCAATTATTCTACTGGAATCTTTTCCAACCAATCTTAGGGCTCGAACTGCAACAGGGATTGTTGATGTTCCTATGTGCCACATTTTTGAGATTTCTATTTCAAGGTATTTTGACAGCTTTTTGAATATCTTCAAAGATACATTGCAGTCTACAGGGACTGCCATATTATTATTATTATTATTTAGATTTACTTTATGTTTCACACTGTTTACTCAGAAGTCAACTGCATAATTTCTGGTGACATACTTCGTGCTCACTTGTGTCAATTTGTATTGATTTTCGGCCATCTTGTTTACCGTTACATGACTTTATGCAAGATGGCGTAGTATTTGTGTTTCTTTGCGTTTCACCTTTTATTCTCATGGTCCATGTTGTTGGATGCTTGAATTTCATTTAAGATAGTGATTTTTGTTTTCATATTTCTTTTTCAGACGAGGCATGTCAACCCTACTTTATAATTAATTCTAATTTAATTCCATAACTTTATTTTATTATTTTGCTTTTCCGGCGTCTTATTACTTGCTTATTTTGAAATTAGCAAATATCAGAAGATGGGAATTTTCCAAAAGATTCTCTTGATCTTCGCCGACTGATTTATTTTTCATTTTTCCATTCTTCTTGCCATTTCTTTTTTAATTATCTTGGTTAACATTTTTCATTTCTTCTTTCTTTTTTTTTCTTTTTCTATCTTTCTATCTTCTTACCTTATTTTCAATCCATGCTTCTTTTTTTCTTTCTTTTTTTTACTTTTTTCTTCTCCCTTTTTATCCAATTCCTTCTTTATTGTTTCATTACTTTACTACTTCTTTCTTTCTTTTTTAATTTCATTGTTTTTTTTTTCATTTCTTTTTTGCTTCATTTTTATTTGTTTTTTTTTCTACATATCTCCATTTTTCATTCTGTTAAAAAATCATCTTTCTTTCTTTTTTACTTTTTTAGTTCATTAAAATTTATTTTTCTCTGTTCGTTTTTATCGTTTTAGTTGTTTTTGCTTTCCTTCTATATTCTTATCTTTAGCTTTTCTTTCCTTCCTTCTTTCGTTTTTTTTTCGCCGCGCGTTTCTTTCTTTGTTTCTTTCTTTTTTCTTTCTTTGTTTTTTCTTTCTTTGTTTCTTTCCTTCTTTCTTATTTTCTTTCTTTGTTTCTTCCTTTCTTCTTTCTTTCTTTCTTTCTTACTTTTTAGTTCATTAAAATTTCTTTTTCCTTGTTCGTTTTTATCATTCTGATTGTGTTTGCTTTAGCTATTTCATTTTTCCTTCATTTTACATTTCATTTTCCCTCTGTATTTTTCTTTTTTCCTTTTCCTTCCGTCTTTCCTTCCTTATTTTTCTTTGTTTGTTTGTTTGTTTCTTTCTTTCTTTCTGTTGATTCTTTCTTTTGATTTTCTCTTTCTAACTTAACTTTCTTATTTGTTTACTTTCACTACTAATGCTCTACTTTTCCGGCATTTCTTTCTTTCTTCGATATTCCCTGTCTAACAGATTATTTCATTTTCATTTCAACAATGGATTTTAAAAAAATATATTATCTTTTGAGAATATTTCCGAATTTTTCTATTTTCCTTTCTTCATTACTTTTACGATATTTTTCTTATTTTTTTTTAAATACTATTTTGCCAATTATCCGCCATTTTTATTTTTCTCGTTTAAAAATTATTTTCGACAGTCTCCCAGTTTTAACATTTTTTCTTTCCAATTATAATTTCTTAACCTCATATCTACATTAGTTTGTGAACAAAGATTTACTTTTCTCCTTTTTTTCTCACTGTTTTATCATTTAATATGTTTCCAACTTTATTCTTTTCTCATTCGATGGATTCTATTGTTTAAATTTTTTTTATCCTTTCTTGACGTCTTCATTGTCTAAATGATATTTTGTTTTCGCCGCTGACAAGTGTAGGCCGAAAATATAGAATCACTAGAGACGAAATAGTATCGATGGGAATCAAGTATTAATTTCATCAGTGTGCGGAGGACAAAATGAAGACAAAGCGTGATATTCAAATAGACGTTACATAATAAAGGCCGTTTTTCGCTTGACAGGTCAAGCAGCGAAAATGTTAATTAACGTCCGTTGACTCTGAAGGTAATATTTTCTTTGTCGCTCTTATTCTTTGTATTTTTATTATTATTCTTTGTTTATTCCGTTATTCTTTTTTTGTTATTTCTTTATCATTGTTCCTGTATGACTATTATTCTTTTCTTTCTTGTTCAGTATTTCTTTGTTATATATATATATATATATATATATATATATATATATATAAATATATATACAGTGTATCACAAAAGTGAGTACACCCCTCACATTTCTTCAAATATTTAAGTATATCTCTTCAGGGGACAGCGCTGAAAAAATTACCTTTTGACACAATGAAAAGTAGTCTGTCTGCAGCATATATAACAGAGTTAATTTCTTTTCCCCTCAGAATAACTCAAAATATAGCCATTAAAAGCTAAATCCCTAAATGTCTAAATTGAGTACTGCTTTTCATTTTCCCTCCAAAATGTCATGTGACTCATTAGTGTAACTATGCCCATGTGTTCATGGTGAGCAGGTGTATTCAAATTTGTAGTGCAGCTCTAACACTCTCTCTTACCGGTCACTGAAAGTTCCAACATGGCACCACATGGCAAAGAACTCTCTGAGGATCTTAAATAACGTATTGTTGCACTACATAAAGATGGCCAAGGCTACAAGAAGATTGCCAACACCCTGAAACTGAACTGCAGCACAGTGGCTAAGATCATCCAGCATTTTAAAAGAGCAGGGTCCAGTCAGAACAGGCCTCGGTTAGGTCGTCCAAAGAAGCTGAAGGCACGTACTGAGCGTCACATCCAAATGCTTTCTTTAAAAGATCGGCGTTGGAGTGTTGATAGCATTGCTGCAGAGATTAAAGAGATTGGGATTCAGCCTGTTAGTGTTCAGACCATATGCCGCACACTACATCAAATTGGTGTGCATGGCTGTCACCCCAGGAGGAAGCCTCTTCTGAAGGCAATACACAAGAAAGCCCGCAAACAGTTTGCTGAAGACATGTCAACAAAGCCCATAGATTACTGGAACCATGTCCTATGGTCTGATGAGACAAAATTTAATTTGTTTGGTTCTGATGGCCTTAAGCATGTGTGGCGGCGACAAGGTGAGGAGTACAAAGATAAGTGTGTCATGCCTACAGTCAAGCATGGTGGTGGGAATGTCATGGTCTGGGGCTGCATGAGTGCTGCAGGTATTGGAGAGTTACATTTCATTGAGGGAAACATGAACTCCAACATGTACTGTGAAATACTGCAGCAGAACATGATCACCTCCCTCTAGAAACTGGGTCGCAGAGCAGTGTTCCAGCATGACAATGACCCCAAACACACATCCAAGACAGCCACTGCTTTACTGAAGAGGCTGAGGGTAAAGGTGATGGACTGGCCAAGCATGTCTCCAGACTTGAACCCAATAGAACATCTTTGGGCCATCCTCAAGCAGAAGGTGGAGGTGTGCAGAGTCTCAAATATCCCCCAGCTCCGCGACGTTGTCATTGAGGAGTGGAAGAGCATTCCAGTGACTACCTGTGAAGCTCTGGTAAACTCCATGCCCAGGAGAGTAAAGGCAGTTTTGGATAATGATGGTGGCCACACAAAATATTGACAGTTGACATGTTGTATGTTAATATTGACAACTTTTCCTAAGGGGTGTACTCACTTTTCTTGCCAGGGATTTAGCTTTTAATGGCTATATTTTGAGTTATTTTGAGGGGGAAAGAAATTAACTCTGTTATATATGCTGCAGACAGGCTACTTTTCATTGTGTGAAAGTGTCATTTTGTCAGTGTTGTCCCATGAAGAGATATACTTGAATATTTGAAGAAATGTGAGGGGTGTATTCAATTTTGTGATACACTGTATATATATATATATATATATATATATATATATATATATATATATATATATATATATATATACCGTGGGAGGCACGGTGGAGTAATGGATATCGTCTCGGATTGAGGAATCGAATTCCAGTCGAATCCATTACATTCACTTACGTGCTAATACCCTTGGGAAAGGAATGAATCCTCTTCTTCACCCTGGGTTCTATAGCCTTGGATGACCACTGGTCTAGGAGAAGGACAACCATGACTTCAAAAGAGATTGAAGTGTCCTAATTATTTACTGGGGAGGCACGGTGGAGTAATGGATAGCGGCTCGGATTGAGGAATCGAATTCCAGTTGAATCCATTACATTCACTTATGTGATAATACCCTTGTAATTGTTTTATTTTTGTTATTTTTTGCAGTGATGTTCTCTCTGTACAAGGCGCGAAAGCCACTCGATATAGAAGGTTACAGAATAAGAAGCACAGTTTAAGAGAATACGTAGAAAAGATGATGGTTAACCCCAGATTAAACTGGATAAAATTTAAGTGCTCGGGGAAGAATCCTTCTTAGAATCGGTTCCACGTAGCAGCTGTTTGTGGAAAGAAGCTACTCGAGCGAGACTTACGAAAGCAATGAGAGAGGTTCGCTACAATGGACGCCGATATGGCAGACCTTAGGCCTGACGGTTAAAACTGGTAGAACTAAAGAATACGGTTATATAGCAGTGAGGAGGTTGCAAAGTTTCGTCTGTTGGAAAGGGCTTGTAGGGTGGAAAGAATTCATCACCAACAAGGACGCCGAGACGCTTTTGACTCCGTCAAGATTGGAATACCTGATAGATGGAAATTCAGGGTTCAGCATATTTAATAAATTGTTACAATCTATTCTACAAAATTTCGTTAGAAATGAACACATATTTAGACGTTATGATTGGTTGTAACTTTCCCAGGTGGATGGTACTTGTCTCTCTGACTCAGCCATTGCTTCGTTCTGTGTCCTTGCTTAATATATCGCATATGTTTCACACGAAATTTCGTGTACCTGCAAATGCACATGTATGCGAAACACGTGTAATGAAGACTGAAAAAAAATGGAAGATCGGTTCCATCTTAATGCCAGAATTTTATGGGTTAACCAAATGCAATCACCGTCATATCGACAGCATTTTATTTGGTAAATGAAGTAATTCCAACTTCGGAGTTCGCGCGTCTGTTTCCAATGGCCAAGTTCTGTTGTTTGTATAGTATAAGGCGATATTTAGTGTAGATCATAGCATTTGGAAGAAGGATTAGGAGACATCAGAAGATGAAAGATAAGGAAAAATTAGAAGAATAAAGCTAAGAAGAAGGAGAAATAAATCTAATGAGAAATAACAAGAAGATAGAGGGTAAGGAATAGTCTAAAAAAATGGTAAAGAAACGCCTGATTTATAACGCTAAGGAGATGACGGAAGGAAAGTGTGGGAAGAAGATGGAAGAACGTAAACGAACTTATATTTTATGCAAAGAAAATAGTACAGGTTTTATAAAAGTTGGTGATACAATTATTAATGACACTAATTATTAATTAATTATTATGTCAGAAACATTTATAAAATCTATACGTAAATAATCAATGATCTGTCTATCTAGAACCAAAAACAGGTGTAACCTACATGCATTCACTCCCACGTAAAACATCCCCCAATCAAAACACAGAAACTACCTGACATAAATAGAAAAGCCCACGAGACACACAAAAGCACAGGCGCGGATGCATTATCAAACAAACCACGCATAGCTAATCTAGTATTGTGATACACATATACACTGAAAAAATATACACACGAACACTACCTGACAGGTCAATTACACATGAGCTCAGCTTAACCAATGGAATAAAAAAAAATCCAGAACGGATTTGCCCTTATGTTTCGTTTCTAATGAAGATTAGAGAAAAGAGAAATATGTTCAGATTATAAATGTTTCCTATTTGTTCCCTATCATACCATTCTCTCGGATTCTAATTATATATATATATATATATATATATATATATGTGTGTGTGTGTGTGTGTGTGTGTGTGTGTGTGTGTGTGTGTGTGTGTGTGTGGGACTCTCCCGTTGGTTTTGACGTATGAGGTTTGTTTATTTAACCTTGTGTGTGAGTCGCAAGTGACACTTCAGTTTCGCTAGTGATTTGCAAAGAAGTCCACAGATTGTGCAAGGGTGTGGATTCTTAGAGTATATGTATGGAACAGCAGCAGATATTTTATTCCTTTCCCGATTTTGACGAAGCTTGACAATGTTTGATGCTGCCTTGTTTTTGATGCCATTGTAGCATGTAATCTTCCATTCATTATGATCAATTACGATGTTCTCAAAGGTAGTGTGATTTATATTCGCAGCTAAGAGGTTACTCTTCAGCTTGTCCCTGTACCTAAGCAAAGGCCGACCCACGTTTTGATAAACATTGTCAAGTTGACCATAGATGAGCATTTTTGGAATTCTGTTGTCTTGCATACGTAACACATGACCTGTCCAGCGTAATTGTGATTTCATGAGAAAAGACTCAATACCATCAATATCACACATGCTGAAAAGATCTGCATTTACCATTCTGTCGCTTAATTTTACTCCACAGATTTCCCGAAGTCAGCCTTTGTGAAAAATATATAATTGCTGAATTTGCTTTCTGTATAGTGTCCAGGATTCTGAGCCATACAAAAGGGTGAGAACTACAGCCTTGTACACCTGTATTTTGGTTCCAAGCCTAATACCACGATCATTCCAAATTCGATGACGAAGTTTTCCGAAGTTTTATATATATATATATATATATATATATATATATATATATAATATTAGTTGTGGAGTGGTGATTGGAGTGCATGCGTTCCAGGCTAAGCTAGCCTTAAGCCCCCCACAGCTTCTGCCTCCAAACCGCTTGCTTGCTACCTTCCCGTGATCCCCTCTGTTTCTTACTAAATGCATGCAAGTGACCGAGCGGACTGGCGGTATAATCAGCCCCCCCCCTGCTGCCTTGTAGGGTTTGCTTCTTTGAGGCAAAGGCTAGGTGAAGGAAAACTCCGATATGAAACTAGCAAGACCCCAACGGCGGAGCTCTATAGCGATGTCGGAGGACGGCAACGCCTGTCGGGCAGGCGATAAGGCGGGCCTTGAAAAAAATGAGAACCCGGCAGCCCGTTTCAACCAGCATCATGGAGGTCGCCTGTCTCGTTTCTCTTGAGCCGCGGAGGAAGCGATGCTGGCCGAGTGTGTGTGCGCGGCCATCGCGCAGCCACGACCACCTAAAACAATATCCTCAGCCACTGGCATTCTGTCGTTTCTTTTTCTTTTCTTTTCTTTCTTTCACCTATTTTCATCCATTCACCTCCATCATCACCACACAAGTCCTGTGGAAATAGCACCGCGAACAACGGGGGCAGGCCTGGAACACTGGAAGCCTTCCGCCCGCGACTGCACACAGGCGGCGGATCAACGATGGTCACTCTCTGGTGACATTGCCGAGTTCGGCAGCTGGAACCGTGACTGGGCTGGCCTATTGAGGACCACCGCATCCCACTCTATTTGGGGAACCCCCTAGAAAAGGTGGGGCAAACATCGGACACGGCGATACATCTGGCCAATTTACCGCGGCTGGCGGACATCCTTCTACAGCGGTCCCAATAATGCAAAAAGTTTAAACAATAAAAATATCCTTACCCTTGGTGCTCGGAACATCCGCCCCATCCAAGACGTGGCGAACACTACCCACCCAGAAAGACGCACAGCCCTCGTCTGCTAGGAGCTTTCCCGATTCAACATAGATGTGGCGGCCCTCAGCGAGACGAGACTGCCCGAGGAGGGCAACATCAGGGAAGCTGTAACAGTTTATACCATTTTCTGGAAGGGGAAGGCCCCCGAGGAGCCGCGCATAAATGGCGTTGGCTTTGCCACTCGTTCCCAGTTCGTGCAGCAACACAACCTCGCTCCAACGGCCGTCAGTAAGCGCTTAATGACTGTCCGCATTCCCATCATGCGGGGCAGACACATCACCCTGATTGCAGTATACGCCCCGACTCTGACCTCAACTGATGAAGACAAAGCCGCATTTTACAACCAGTTCGACCATACCATCCAGAGAGCGACCGCCAACGACAAGCTCATTTAATGCCCGAGAAGGCAGGGACCATCGCCTGTGGGAGGGAATAATTGGCCACCAGGGTATCGGGAACTGTAACGCCAACGCTAAACTCCTACTGTGTCTCTGTGCGGAATATGAACTTGTTGTGACTCCCGAACCGACAGAAGACAACATGGAGGCACCCCCGGTCCAAACACTGGCACATTATGGACTATGTCCTAACCAGATCCAGAGACAGGGGAGACGTGCGCATCACCCGATCCATGCCAGGAGCGGACGACTGCGGGACGGAGCACAGGCTTCTATTCTCTAGACTATCTACGAGAACCCTTCGACCACCTAGAAGGAGACCGTACAGCATACCACACCGACGCTTTGACTGTAGCAATCTCCGCGTCCCACAGATAGCACAGAATTTTAGAGAAGCCTGCGATCGCCACCTTGCAGACCCAGTGGATTAGGCCTCTGTGGAGCACGAGTGGACCACCCTCAGAGACGCCATGACCCGTGCAGCGGAGGAAACCATCGGCTACTCAAACAAGAAAAGACAGGACTGGTTCGATGAGAGTTACTGGTCCATCTCACCTCTCATTGAAACTAACGTCAGACACGTCTGACTATGGAGAACCAGCCTACAGCTACCAATAAATGTGCTCATAAACAAGCCGTAGCTAACTGCCAAAGTGGCATACAAGAAGCCCAGAACACCGGGTGGCAAAGAAAAGCAGCAGAAATACAAAGCTACGCTGACCAACGAGACCTGCGCAGCTTTTATGAGGCAACCAAGGAAATTTTTGGTCCCACATGCTCATCAGTTGGCGGACTAAAGGACGTGGACGGGGCTACAACCATCACCGACAGCGAGGGTATTCTGGCAAGGTGGAGGTTTCACTTCGAGAACCTCCTCAACGACCAGGTCAACACGCCAGACGATCTCCTGCGAACGACCCCGCAGCTTCCTGTCCGTCACTGGATGGCACTTTTACCCTCTATCCAGGACTTCAACAAAGCCCTTAAACGCATGAGACCCGGCAAAGCCCCAGGACCCGACAACATCCCACTGGAGCTTCTCACCCACAGTGGCCCCGAGATGAAGAACCGTCTCATGCTCCTTATATTCAAGATTTGGGAGACAAAGACCCTCCCCAGCGACTTCCGCGATGCAACGGCCGTGACAACTGCAACAACTATCGGGGAATATCACTGCTAAGCATCGCCAGCAAGATCTTCGCCCGCATTCTCCTAGACCGTCTCCTCGTCCTTGCCGAAGATGTCCTGTCAGAGTCCCAGTGTGGTTTTCGACCTTCCCCCCAGGACCATCGACATGATCTTCTGCGCACGGCAAATACAAGAGAAAAGCTTCGAACAGCAACAGCCCGCAATGTTCATCTTTTCGGACCTGAAAAAGACCTTCGATAAAGTAAGCCGACCTGCTATGTGGGCAGTCTTTACTAGGTTTGGCTGCCCACACGACTTTTTCGCCCTGGTGCACGCCCTGAATGACGGAATGGCGGGGAGAGTATGCCACCAGAACTCCCTCTCGGACCCATTCGCCATTACTGGTGGCCTGAAGCAGGGGTGTGTTCTGGCACCAACGTGTTTCTCTCTCTACACAGCAGCAATGCTAAATGAGATACCACCAGACACACCCTCAATTGACCTGCGTTACCGCTTGGATGGAGGAGTTTTCAGCCTCGTTCGACTTCGTGCCAGATCCAAGACTACCATGTGTTCGGTACGGGAGCTGCAGTACGCTGACGACAATGCCACCCCAGGTCAGACTGCAGATGACCTCCAGTCACTAGCGGACGCATACAACACGGCTTATGAACGATTTGGGATGCAGATCAACACAGAAAAGACCAAATTATTAGTTCAACCACCACCCAGACTGTCGCTCCCAAACACTAATACCACTGTCAATGGCCAACCGCTGGAGCAATTAGATCAGCTCTCGTATCTGGGGAGCATTCTGACATCAACACCCACATGCAGAAAGGACGTGGAGATAGAATCAGGGCAGCCCCACTCCGCCTTTGGCCGACTCAACTGCCGCATATTTAAAACCCACGCACTGACGATGGCTTCCAAAATCCTGGTCTTCCGGGCAGTAGTCCTCTCCACCCTTTTTATACGCTTGCAAAACATGGACCCTATATAGAAGCGAGGTAAAAATGCCAGAAGGCTTCCAGCAACTGAGACTAAGGCAAATCCTTAACATCTCTTGGGAGAGCTACACCACCAACAGAGAAGTGCTGGAAGAGCCTCAGTGAGCAGCGTCGAGGCCACTATCATCTACCACCGCCTCCGCTCGGCATGACACGTCCACAAGACGGGTCCTTCCAGGCTCCCCAAGAAAATCTTATATGGCGAGCTGGCCATTGGAACCAGACCACGAGGAGCACCCAAAATGCGCTACAAGGACCAACTAAAGCGCAGCTTGACACTTACCAACATCAGCTCGTTCTCGTGGGAAGAAACTGCCAGGGACCGAACGACGTGGAGGAGATCAATACGCGATGACATACGCGAGGAAAAAAGGAGGGAGAATGAAGAGGCAATGCGACGAAGGGGAAGAGAACGCCGTGGATAACACCCGTCCTCCCCTACCCTCCCATGTGAGCACTATCCGCGACTATTCCACCTTGCAAGTTATGTCAAACATAAACAACAACCGTGAAGATAGGACTCAGACACGACTGGGAGCCGAGGACGACGACGACGATTAGTTGCCAATATATATATATATATATATATATATATATATATATGTCACTATATATATATATATATATATATATAATTATTTATATTTCAAAGAGGATCAAATTATGTACAAGACATATCAAGAATATAATAATAAAGGGTCAAACACTAATATTGCATGGTTATAATTTATTACATTGAATTGTAATCAGCATCAATTCATCAGACCTACAAATTTGTAGGTCTGATTAATTGGTTTGTGATTAAGATTCAAATTTACTAAATTATAACCATGCAATATTAGTGCTTTTATACCTTTTATATATATATATATATATATATATATATATATATATATATATATATATATATATGTGAATTGGGATTGGATGTGTATTATATTTGAATGTATATGTGCAGATCATAATCCTGAATTTGAAAATCCAAAATACCGAAATTTGAAATCTCGAATTTATAAAATCCTGAAAGAACAGTAGCCCAAAATTCAAAATCTTGAAAAGTGACAATCTCAAAAAAATTTCTCTGGGAGAAATTGAAAAAAAAATAATGGAAATAACTAAACATTTACAAAATAGCGTTTAGTGTTTGTACATTTGAAACATTCAAAATTCATTAAAAAAAAAAAAAGGGTGTTTCATTAAGACGGATAAAAATCATTAATAAATAAATCAGTGTTATTACTAAAAATTTATCTATTTCTCTAGGAGATCATGTTATTTAAGTCACGGCAATTATGTGTGAAATGTAATGTCACCCAAATGTCCGCCAAATCTGAAAGAAAAAGAAAAGAAATCATTAGACGTTTTAACTTAATTCACATTTATAATCGGTCCAAATTATTAGAATAACCTTTATCAAACCAGAATATGGCATAGGCGATGGGAAAATTAAGTAGGCAATACTTATGTCAATTGTTATCGCATTATTGGAGAGTTTCAAAAAGGCCCACAGCACATACAAAACGATTGTAAAACTCACATTTCTTTTTCTTTTTGGACTCTCCTCGGAGAGTCCAAAAAGAAAAAGAAATATGAGTTTTATCGTGATGAAACGCTGAAAAATATAGTTAACGATTGTGATAACAGACCAGATCTTATGGACTATCTTAGGGTACTGGATCATAATCTTAGGGTACTGGATCATAATATTCCTTTATAAATTAATCCTATATTTCGGTTTTACAATTTTTAATGAATTTTGACTGTTTCAAATGTATAAACACTAATTAAACGATATTTTGTAATTTTTTAGAAGTAAGGGTATTTCCAAAATTTATCGTTTCAGTTTCTTAATAATGTCAGGCAACGTCTGTGAGAAAAAGATCAACGTGACGCAGTTCACTCCGCCAGAAATCTGGAAATACGGCATACTGTACTGCCTGGTATTCGTAAAAGGTATTTGGAGTTATCACTATTGATGGCAACGTTATGCCTCCATTCATCTTCCTCAGACTCAGTATAGAGGCCTACATCAGGTGCCTTGAGGAGGTAGTGCTGCCCTGTTTCAAGGGGGTACCTGCTGGAAGACCCTATGTCTGGAAACAGAACTCTGTACCATGAATACAATCATGGCTGTCAGACAACTATCTAACTCCTCAGACTGTAACCTACTTGATTATTATGTGCGGGAGACCAACAAAACTCCGTGTAACACCAAAGACGAAAAGAAGGCAAGGATTATAGCAGCATTCACCAAGTTAAAGAAAGAGATTTCGAAGTTGTCTGGAAGCCGAGGTTGAAGCCAATGGCGACTTTATTGAAAAACTTTACTCTTTAGTATTTAAAAGATATATTTGTGTAATTTTGGTAAATATATCTGTTAAAATGAAATTCCAGTATTATTTTTTTTATTTTTACGTAATCTAGACGACAATTTATCCATCGCATCCTATATATATATATATATATATATATATATATATATATATATATATATACATGCACAAGCACACGCATACACACACACACACACACATATATATATATATATATATATATATATATATATATACAGTGTAACCTGGATATAAGAGAGTTGTCGGGACCGGAGAAGAAGTCTCTTATATCCGGGTTTCTTTTATATCCGGGTTTGGTCTATTTTATATACAATAAACCAGGCCCCTATTTGGGGACCGAAAAAAATCTCTTTATATCCAGGTTTCTCTTATATCCGGGTCTCTTATATCCGGGTTACACTGCATATATATATATTATTTTTTTTTTTCAAAAAGTGTGGCTGGTCCTGCACGAAGCCTTCACCACTTTAATCAAATCTCATGTGCCGTTGTCGGGCTGTCGGTTTCCTAGGGTCTGATCTGCTTGACCCTCATACATTGAATTCGAAGGAGAGTCGACTATATATATATATATATATATATATATATATATATATATATATATATATATATATATGAGTAGTTGAAAAGGCAACTGAAGTTTTTAAAATACTTATTTAGAGTAACTTTACTGGTTTCACAATACTATGATATTCAAAAGTTTAAGTGATGGAGAGCGATATGTCTCGCATCTTATTAGACTTGCATGAGCCTTTCTGTTTTATGCAAGAAAGTGTCAACGATTGCTATATCTTTAAAATGTAATCTAGTTGATTGATTACAGTCACATGATCAGGCGTAGTAATTTTGCGCCCAAAATTCATGATCATAAACTTTTTTTTGTCAGAAATTACGAATTTCACGCTTCACTGAGCATGTCTAATGACAACGGAGTGTTAAGTCGCTCAACTGCCAAGAATTCTATTTTGTTGGACGTCAGACGCAATCCCAAAACATTTAAGGTATATTTTTTATGTTTGTTTGTTTGTTTGTTTGTGTGTGTGTGTGTAGAAATAGTTTTAGAGTTTCATACTATTTCGTAATGTCGAGGGTAATGTGACAGCACCTAAAACATTAATAGTAATAATAATGAAAAATTACTCTAAATAAATATTGTTAGACTTCAGTTAAATTTTCATCTCAGTCAGTCAGTTATGATGAGGCGATCATATATCTTTCGATACATGACTGACAACGCAGATTTTTCCCGCAGTAGGTTGCCAATTCTTTCTTCGGTAGACCAGTTGCCATCCAAGACTATAGAACCCGGTCTGTCCTGCTATTTATCGATAGCTTTTGGGGTGGGGAGAAGAAGATAATTCATACCTTTTCCAAGAATATCAACACGTAAGTGAATGTAATGGATTCGACTGGAATTCGAACTCGGCTCTCCGATTCTTGATTTTCAACTACTTTTCCTATTTCTTACTGAGATATAAAAAAATACTTTCTTTCTCTCTCTCTCTCTCTCTCTCTCACAGACACACACACACACACACACACACACACTGAAACATAGATAGATAGATAGATAGATAGATAGATAGATAGATAGATATGTCACAAATTGGAAAATATTTTCGTGTCACGTGTTTCGTCCAGTAGGGAGACAAGAGATGCTTCCCCTTCAGTTAAGGACATAGGAGTTCACCCCTTTTGAGAGGAGAACTCTTCTTCCCTTTTTTCTTTGCTTCCATTTGGGAAACAATTAATAGCTTCCTAACCATCATGGCGTCCACACACGTGAAAATGGACATATGCACAGCCTAACTTGGAGAAAAAAAATTGATTCACCTAGCTACGGAGGCTCAAACGCCATAAGGCTGGTATGTTATTTCTTTCTTCTTTGTTTTCTTAAACATTCACGTCATTTGGACAATGTGAACAATCATTTGTTTTGGGGTATGTGTAAATCTTTTTAATATAGTTATGTAAGTTGTATTTGCCTTATTAAATGTTTGTTTGTTACGGGCGTGTATTTCGTCTTTCTATATTTATATTCAATGTCTGTATATCAATGGCTACACTAATGCTAATATTGGTACTCGGTTTGCTGGAAGGCTAAAGCGTTATTATTTCTGGCGCTAAATAGCCGATAAAAGTGTCTGGTTTATAAATAATACTAATTGCCCCATACGACATCATCGTACTAGGTGTGTTTACGTTGATGCAAGGACACATGCCTATGAATGAAAGGGGATTTTAAATTTAGAACTTTAGAAAAGAATTAATGTTTTTTTTTGGGGGGGTATGATCTAGGCAATTTTATCTAGATTCCTTTTCTTTTTGTTTCCATCATCTTTGTTATTAAATATCGCACATTGTGATAACAGAAGATCTGGCGTGAATAGTGAAACGTTATAAGTTCCTGGACAGAAATTTACTGCAGAGGAACTAGCGATTAAAGCACTTTCTAAACATTTTCACTTTAGTGAAATATTCTTTCTTTTAATTCGAGTAGCATTTTTTATGTCAAAATTGTCGCCAGTCTCGTTAAAATGAGCAACTAATGCGTTTAATGTGTTGTTTTTTTGTTGTTGTTTTTTAAATGTCTCTTTTGTATTTTGTATTTTTTTTTCACTTCTTGAGGTTTCGCCAATATATTCTTTCTGGCAATACACGCTGGTGATAGAGGAAATTCGTTTTTTATTGTTTTACATGTAATTTTGAAGATTCTGTGTGGGGCAACAAGACTCTACACCATGTCACACAAGCAGCAGAACTCAGTCATGGTTATCAGACAATTTCTGCTATCACATCACTTCTTACATCATGCTACCTAACTCCACAGACTGCAACCCCCTTGATTATTATGTGTGGGGCGCAGTTGAGCGAGAGACCAACAAAACTCCTTGTAACACCAAAGATGAACTGGCAAGAATTACGATAGCATTCCCCAACATAATCAAGGAGACCGTCCTGCAGAGATGCAAAAGATTCTGAAGTCGTCTGGATACCGTGGTTATACTGATCCATGTAACAGAACAGCGCTATTAAGTAAAAAAAGAAATCTATATAGAGAGCGTATGTAATTATAACTTTTTATGTATTTTCGGTATATAATCTAACCACTTTCGTTTAAATAATTTTTCATTTTGCTTCCATTGTGATAACAGAAAATCTCGCGAGAATAGCGAAACGTTGTAAGAACTTAAACGCAAATTTAAT